GCATATAAAGGAATCAGCAGGAAAGGTAAAGGGAATGAACCAGTCCTTGGCTACAATGATCAGTCCTGGAGTCTACGCTACTGCAAAGGCAAATACACCGTCTGGCACAATAAGAATGATGATGCACCCATATCTGTTCCCTATTTCAACTCCAAGAGGGTTGGAGTGTTCTTAGACTGGACAGCTGGCACGCTGACCTTCTATGCAGTGTCTTCACAGACCATGATTCACCTGCACACTTTCCACACTGAATTCACTGAGCCATTGTATCCAGGCTTCAGACTGGGAGAGCCACGTGCTACATTAATTTTACGCCAGCCAGAATATCTTTAAATGGTGATAGCCCCTGCAGACAACAGTTTGTAGAGTACAGTTTTACAGTATTGACAATTATGTGAACGCTGTAAAACAAATGAAGGGATTTCAGAAGACCTTGTATGTAAGTGATTTCAACAAGTTTTTTTGGCATTTTTTTAATCAAGTTCTAATTTTGTAGCAAGTGGATATCAAAGCTGTGAAAAGCTGTCTGTCTTTAAGCCTGAATTGAATCAGCAGAAGCGGACGGAAGGATGTATTTTTTCCTATAACTAACAATTTCAAGGAAATTGGTAATAAATTACATATTTTAAATCTTAATATCTATTTTCTGTAATGACTTTTTTTATGTTAAAGTGTTAGTATTATGTTTTTTATGCTTTTGTGATGAGGGATGGGATATGGATCAATAGGTGACAGTATTGAGAAAATATACTAGAAGCTTGTGAAATCAAGCTGTAATAAATAATCATCAGAACGATCCCATTGCAAACCAAAAGTGTGGGCATTGGATTTATTTTCACATTTTAAAAATACAGATAAGCATACTAGGTTCACATGCACCATCTGCCTGGGCTCTTTCTTTGTGGAGTTTGCATGCTATCAGAATGTTTCCATGTCCAGTCCAAAGACATGCAGTTAGTGGGGCTTGGTTTAATTGGTTATCTGAATGGGCGTGATTGCAAGTGGATATCAGCGTGGGGAAAAAAAAACCCACACAGCAACTCACTCATATTACCAATGATTAATTGGAAAAATATATTTAGTCCTCAGTCATAAAATGTTTTGTGGCACTGGTTCTTCCCATGGGTCAAATGTAATGTTAACTTCAGTTACGTTATATTGATCAGCCACAACAGTAAAACCACTGACAGATTTTAAATTAAATGTGTCCCTTGCACTCAAAGAACTGTTCAGGAACAATTAAAAGATTACAGCAAAGAACCAAAGGCCCTGACTCAACCTCCTTCCTATTCCAATCTGAGTATCAGTGGGATGACACTGAACATGCCTGATCCATGGAAGTCCCACTCAGCAACCCACAGGACCAAAGGATCCAGTACCCCAGTGCCTAATGCTACACAGTGATCGGCAGGTGATTTGCATGCTGTGGCTGTTCAATGTATGTACTGTATATCTCAAACAATTAAACTACAGTTACGGTGCTTATGGGGAACAAACATATATTTATACATAAGAATTAAGAAACAGCATAT